AGTGTGGTGAGGGGTCTGGAGAACAAGTCTGATGAGGAGCGGCTGAGGGAGCTGGGGCTGTTCAGTCTGGAGAAGGAGAGGCTGAGGGGGGACCTCATTGCTCTCTCCAACTACCTGACAGGAGGGTGTAGTGAGGTGGGGGTTGGTCTCTTCTCCCAAGTAACTAGTGGTAAGACAAGAGCAAATGGCCTCAAACGGAGGTTTAGATTGGATATTGGGAAAAATTCTTTGCTGAAGGAGTGGTCAGGCATTGGAGCAGGCTGCCCAGAGAAGCAGTGGAGTCCCCATCCCTGGAGGGGTTCAAAAAATGTGTGGATGTGGCACTTCAGGACATGGTTTGGTAGGAATGGTGGTGATGGGTGGATGATTGGACTCAATGATCTTAGAGGGCTTTTCCAACCTCTGATTCTATGATATGATTCCTCCTAAATCAGCTTTCAGCTCTCCGCAGGGGCTGGGACATCAGCACACGGTCCGGCCCGTCACCAGCGCAGGCGGGTGGGCATCGCTCCGGCCCTGGCTGTGGGCGGCTGCGGGCAGTGGTAACTCAGAGCTGCGACCGCCCAGGTCTCCCTCCTCACCCTCCCTCGGCATCGGACGCTTCTCTGATCCGCAAGCTCCCCGGCGCTGGGAAACGGAGATTTCTCTCGCAGCGACGGGACGGGCACAAGGACCTGCGTGGGAAGCTGGGCTGGGCACTCACTGCTGCGGCGAGTTTGTTAGTGCTCGGGCGGTCCGCCCAGCCCCCGTTGCCCGATGCCGGAGCTGCCGGCCGCTCAGCACCCTGCATGGGACCCCCGGGCGCAGCACCCACTGCCCAACAAAACCCTCCAGGACCCGGGGCAGGGGGAGAGCCATATCTTCCCCTGCTTCCCTGCAGGTTCCCAGGTTGGGAATTAGGAAAAAACTTCTATTTTTCTTCTTTTAAACAAGCAAGATTCAGTAAACTGTTGGGTTATCACCCTGGCACCGCCGGCTCAGCCCCTAGACTCTCTCTTCCCTCTGACCCTTGGGCGTATATTCAAACAAAACCACAAACCCTCGAGGATGGCAACAGGGTCTAATTAAGCCCTAAATCCACGTGCCGGCACCCTCCTTGCCCGCCAGCGCTCGGTGAGGGGCAGAGGCACGGGCTC